TAAGCGTTTCAAACGCGATCCATAAAAATCGTTTCACCTCTACACATCAATTTTCAAAGTAATAAAATTAATTTCGTAATATAAATTTTATATTCGGAATTTATAGTTCATTATACTTCATCGGGGATGATTTGCGTAAAATGATTGATTCTTTGGATTTGACGAAATTGAAAGTCGAGGTCGTAAATAAAGATGGAATTGCTAAAATATTAAATTATCATAATATTATGTTAATATTCACTAATAATACTAATGTCTTCCAGACCGCATTTCGGTCACGGTGGCGCGTCTGCACGGAGACGAGCCATCTACGAAAAAATTATATAGTTATTATATTATAGTAGGTATTATAGTAGGAGATTTCTTCCGCGTACGACCTCTCTGTGGAATAGTTTACCATCGGTGATTTTTCCGTAACGATGCGACCTGGGGACCTTCAAGAAAAGAGCTTACTCCTTTCTAAAGGGCTGGCAACGCATCTGCAATTCCCCTGGTGTTGCGGATGTTGATGGGCGGCGGTAGTCACTTAACATCATGGGAACCGTATGCTCGTTTGCCCCTCTTCTATAAAACAAATAACATAAAGATTACATAATTTTCAAACATTTTTCGAATAGCAATATTCATATTAATTCTACAACTCCAACTAAATTGTCCCAACACTTAAAACTGAGCATCCAATTGCTTTATTCCTTCGAGACTAAAAAGATACATCAGTAACCATTTCCCAACTTGCCCTTCAAGGGCCATATACTAGGGTATTACAGTCCTCGCCGAGGACGAGATGGATAACTTGCGTGTTATTGGACATTTGGGAATCGGAGGGTTCATACTTTTTGAAAGAAAATCGCTGAGTCCATTCCGGGTTGAACATTTCATCTTTTGATTGAAAAAATGTATACTTGGGTTCCGCAAGGTGTTTTATCAGGTCCATAAACGTCTATTTGCTTTGAGCTTACATTGATAGTATCGAATTGATATTAAAATTCCTTTCAAAAGCAAAAAGACCCAAATTTTGACATGTTAAGGTTTTTTATCTTATTTTTACGATTTTTAGATTTCCTGTTTTATTTTATTTTTTAACCTAAGTTAACTATTTTAGTACTAATTCTGAATAATTTTTAGTGTATGATGTGGATAGTAAGAGTCACGCTGCAGCTATATTATGGTTGTAGTACGAATGGGTCGGTTCGTCCCAAGAAAGACCACGCTCTCATAAAACAGCAGCGTAAAATAACAACTTAAAGCTGCTGTGTTTCGTATGGTGAGTGTACGAACCGAGAACCCTTTTTACTGGAAACGAGGCATTCCATCTTAATCATCAGGGGTGATAACGCATCTGCATATTGATTCTTAGTCAAAGATAAATGTAGATGTTAATGGGCCACAGCATCCACTTACCATCAGGTGGAGTGTGTGCTCGTTTGTCACCCTAATACTATAAAAGGAATATATAATGCCTTAATATACTTTATGGTGGCTCAGGACCGTGCTTTGTGGCATACCTTGAGGGAGGCCTATGTTCAGCAGTGGACTTGTAAAGGGCTGTAATGATGATGATGATGATGATATTTTATCATGACTCTCAATCTGCATACAAGTAAAATGAATAGATTTCTCATAACAATCTTTATCTTCATCTTCACTAAATGCCAAAAGTCAACTGCAGGACACGGATTTCCCCCATTTTATGGCATCGTTACCGTTACATTCTATTAAAGTTCACTGCTGAACATAGGCCTCCCTCATAGATTGCCTCTTACTTACTTACTTACTTATCTTCACGCACAATCCCTAACGGGGTAGTCAGAGAGAACAGATCGCCAAGTGTCACGATCCTTACATACCTCTTTCGCTTCTTTCAGGTTCATTAACTTCTTCATACATGCATGTCTAGGTATCCGAGTACTCTTGACCTTCCCCTCTTCGAGCAATTTGCTTACATGGTCTTCGAAAGTTAGTCTCGGTCTACCTCGACACCTTTTAATATTTACTTTCGCTCTATATATTTTCTTCACCATTCGGTCTTCACTCATTCGCTCAACGTGCCCAAACCATTGGAGTACGCACCTATCAATTTTAGTAATAAGGTCATCTTTCAATCCTGCCATATTACGAATCTCTTCGTTTCGCGTTCGGTCGGCTATGGTAACGCCACATATTTTACGAAGAGATCGCATCTCCACTGCACTCAACTTGCTTTTATGCTTCTTCTGGCATACCCAGGTTTCGCTGCCATATAACAAAGTCGGTACCAACACTGCGTTATGTATTGCAAGGCGTGCACTCTTCACTCACATGGGAAATATTCACTATAGCTGCCACGCTTGACCAGCGGCTTGGAACCCGTAGTTTTTTTAAATCGTTATCAAGAACACGCTGCTGTCCACCTTCTCATTTGTTTCCTCCTCTCGCCTCTTACGACACCCACGAGATGATATGGCGTAGTGGATATTCTTACACCGCCACTACACGGTAAGTTTTATAGGGGATTTCCAATGATCGACATACCAGATCATAGAAACAGACGTCTTGCATCTTTGAAGCTGTGCCGTTGCTCTAGTTATTTTACGTCTATTACAACTAGCTACATCACTTTTAGATATCCATATGAGGTAATCTATGGAAAGGCTATGAACTTTTGATAGGCAGTCACGGCTATGAACTATGTTCAGCTATGAACTTTTGATAGGCTGTCACGGTAACTGCAAAAGGAATAGTAATATGGCCATCTCTTGAATCGTTCTTTCCTATAGTTCCAATTTTTTTTAAATATTCTAAGCCAGTGCTTAACTACAATCCCAACTGATTGTAAGTTGGTGATGTAGGCGAAGATGGTAAGCGCACTGACTTAACGAAAGTCATCAAAAATATTTAACAAACCATTTACAACACCCATTTTTCTAAGTGGTAGAGCCACGCTGCAGTTATATTATGGTTGTAGTACGAATGGGTCGGCTCGACCGGGGAAGGAACACGTTCTCACAGAATACAACACAGAATACAAAGTAAAATAGTAGCTTCATGCTGATGTGTTTCATATGGTGAGTGTAAAGAAAAGAACTGGATACCCGTTTTACTGGATTCAAAGCATAACATCCTAGTCCTCACAACACAACGCGTGACAACGCATCTGCATTTTGATTCTCAATCGAAGTTAAATGAAGATATTTATGGTCCACAGCATCGACTTACCATCAGGTGAACTGTGTGCTCTATTTTCTCCCTTATTCTATTAAAAAATTCCCAAAGGAAATAACGAAATACGGTGATGTATTTTACATGGCTTATGTTTGGTAGTGTATAGCTAGAGATAAAGTAAATTATATTAAGTGGGGATCATCATCGGGTTTTGTATAAAATGTTCTTATTCAAAGTAAGTCACTACTGTTGACGTTACTCTACTAGTGCTTTCATATTTACATATAAACACACATACAAATATAATCACACAATATGTATGTGCGCGGTCACACACATAAACACACACACATACACACACGCGCGCGCACGCACACACACACACAAACACACACACACACACACACACACACACACACACACACACACACACACACACACACACACACACAACACACACACACACACACGCACTAACCAAATAAAAAATTATATTAGTAATGTTACGTAGACTGATGTTATAAGTAATCACAAACATTACTTCTTGTACTTGTACTATCTTGTAGTCATATAATATGGAAGAGCGATAACGTCTCAATACAGGTATTTGTATACTTAAAAGGAATGTTATAAAAATGTTGGTAAACCTAGTATGTTACAGTAATAAAGTATTTTGATTTTAACCAATATAACATATTACTATGCGGTAACTCCCTCATAGTTGCGTGTAAAGTGAATATAATGATATAGAACAAGTAATTCTTATAGAAAGTAATTGTTTACTTTTACCACTGATTCAGAAGTAAAAGTAAATAATACCAGTCATTAGAAGAACTTCCAAAAACCCAGTGAATGAAATAACGTTAACATATATATATATATATATATATATGTTATATAAGTTACAACCCATATAGGCCTATATATATATAATTATCATCATCATCATCATCATAGCCTATAAAAGTCCACAGCAGACCTACCCCATAGATTTGTGGTAGTTGACAAGCTTGGCGAACGGGTTGTCAACCGCAGTTTTTTATTATTTTGAGTTGTTGTTTTTTCGCCTCTTACGACACCCACGGGACGATATTGGCTAGTGGATATTCTTACACCGTCACTACACGGTTTATATATAAACATCTATAAAACCGTGATGATTATATATGAACATATACACAAATATAAGAAAATATAAGATAAGATACATAATAACCAGATTAAACTAAAACAAAGTTAACTATAATGATGACGGAGCTTAGCAGTTTTGAAGCAATTTTAGGAAACAATCTCCCTTTTAGAAGAAGTTAAAGTCCCTCTGTTATTTATTTCTCTTTTGAATTTCTTCAAATTGCTCTCTATCATATGAACCAATAGTAGCCTAGGCAGGATGCGAACTGCAAACTTAAAAAGTCGTGGCTTCGTATCCGCCATTCGACCACTGTCGTGACCACTCTTAACACAAGCATTTTAAGCTTACCAGAAGTGGTTAAAGGAAATATCAGTAAAGTTAACAGCATTTCTAATATTTAAAAAGTGTGTAATGATTAGCGTGACTAATTTAAATTATAACGGATTAGTAAGCTGAAGTGGCAACGGGCCGGCCGTTATAGCTCGAAGGACCAACAAGCAATGGGAAAGAAAGCTTCTCTAGTGGCAGTCTCGTACCGATAGACGAACTCTAAAGTGGCCTTCCACTAGATGGAGTGACAACCCGATAAGACATGCAGGAAGTCCATGGATACAAGTGACTCAGGACCGCGCTTTGTGGCATTCCTTGGAGGAGGCCTATGTTTAGCAGTGGATTTTTTGAATGATGTTTGATGAAATGAAATTCTATCTGATTTCATTTTTTTCAGTACCACCGAACAAGATCTCAATAACGGGCGTTGGGGAGCATGCAACACAAGGTACATTGCTGACACTGATGTGCGCGGTATCCGGAGCTAGACCAGCTGCCCGTATCGAGTGGTACAACGGCACACAAAAGTTGATAGCTGAAGATAATAACATTCAGGTATGTAAATTATTCCGCCATTTAATTTATGTCAGTGTTTTTGTTGTAGGTGACGTAGCATTTTGCTAAGTTTTATTTACGTTTGTATTTTATTTTATTTTTGATTATTTTAATATTTATACCGAAATACTTTATTTATTATGTATGTATATGGCAAAGTATGTGTATCGGACGCGAGACCGGTATGAAATTTAAAAATTTGGAATGTGGGGTGAAGGCGATTTTAGTATGCAAAACCGTGAACGTGATCTGTTAACGAGTTTGTATCGTACTGTACCGTTTAAACGGCACTGATAATCGAAATTTGTGTGTGTGTGTGATGAAAACTGTACAGTTTTACGATTTTTTAAAACTACCGTTGCACGGAGTAGTATGAAATTTTGAATAGATAAAACGGGATCTTAAGAAATTGTGCCGACAATCGTAACGTGTGTGCCAAGAGCTCACTTTTCGCTATTTCTGATAAAAGTATTTTGCTGTTCGATTATTGGCGTTACTATATACAGTAAAAAAAATTCGTATCAATATCGATTTCCAAAAAAGAATATGTCAGTCTCTTGAAAACGCACGAGAATGAGCTTCCCTGTTCATTAGCCAACCTTTACACCTTCTACGATTTTTCCACCTCCTGATTTTTTTTGCCTCTTGTGTGTTTCTATTAACAATAAAGCAACAATACCTAATGCTTCGTCTGTAGATGCTCGCGAAACGAAATGAATAAACTGCGCAATTTTACTTGAACGTGTTTAGGCTATAGGGACATACGATTTATCTCTACAGTTCTACGGCACAGTTTTATCGTATAGATAAAACTGAAGGTATATGGCCCCTATAAGATTACTTGTCTGATTATTACTGTGCAATTTGTACAAATAAACAGAACAGAACGTCACACGTGTCACTATCCCATATCATCCCGTGGGTGTCGTAAGAAGCGACAGAGAGTAACAACTCTAAAGATGGGCAGAAGCATCTTCTTAACTATAAGTATAAAAACGTGGTCCCCCTGCCAAGCGTGGCAACAATACAAAATATCCTTCCTATGAGGTAATCTATGGAGGGAGGGGGGAGCAACTTTGATAGGCTTGTACAGAATGAAATGTATGTAACTTTTTAGAATTTTATTTTATTTTTGCCGATGTAAGATAATCCCCTACCCTATTTCATCTCGTGTGTGTCATAAGAAGCGACAAAGGGAAATTGATCATAGGAGATGGGCAGCAGCATCTTCCTAATATCACACACATTTTTCTAATATCTCGCAGTATACCAGCGTAAAATAGCAGCTTAATACTGCTGTGTTTTGATTAGTAAGTGTAGAGTTCCCGAGACCCTTTTTTACAGGAAACGAGGCATTCCATCTTAGTCCTCAGGGGTGACACCGCATCTGCGTTTTGATTCTTAATCGAGGATAGATGTAGATGTCTGTGGGCCACAGTATCCACTTACCATCAATTAGACTGTGTGCTCGTTTCTTACCCTTATTTTATAAAAAATAACAGCTGAATAAAAATAAAATACTGTGGTTGACAACCAAATAATTAAATAATTAATGAAATGTATGCAAAATATTTGAATTTTATATATTTTGTCATAGAAAGTAAGTAAATTAAATACGCTGCTGCCTATCCCATGGTCAGTTTCCCTCGGTCGCTTCTTACGTCATCTACGGGATGACTTTTTTATTTATTGTATATTTTATTAGTTGACAAACGAGCACACAGTCCATCTAATGGTAAGTGGATGATTAGACCATAGACATCCGCATTTATTCTCAAATAAGAATCAAAAAGGAAATGCGTTGTCACCCCTGAGGACTAAAATGGAGTGCCTCGTTCTTTACACTCACCGTACGAAACACTGAAGCATTACACTGCTAGTTTACGCTCGTATTCTGTGAGAACGTGGCCCTTCCCCGGTCGAGCCAACCCATTCATGCTACAACTATAATATAGCTGTAGCGTGGCTCTACCACGTATGACTTGACGACCTACGGGAATCTGTTACGGATTATTTCAAGTATCCATACATCCATCCATTCATTCAATACAGCCTATTAAAGTCCACTGCTGAACTTAGGCATCCTCCATAAATTGCCAAAAAGGGGGAAGTTTACCACAGTTGCCACTCTTGGCAGGTCGATTGACGACCGCATTTTTTTAATAATTTTGTAAATCTGTTCATTTTAATAGCTTAAAAGGGAATATTGAATTATACAAATTAATATAAGAATATTCTTTTTTGTTTACAAAGCCGTATTAACCCAAGAAAATACCTTTCACAAAAACATTTTTGCCGTACATAAAAATCCAATTAGTCACTAATGCTCTTACTTCTGTTAACCAAACAGTATTCCTTGCTCAAATATCTTTGAAGGCTTTCATAATTTCATATCAACTGATCTAATCATAGCTTGCTTGAAAGGAAAATAACTTTTTCCTAAGCCTAGACCATTTCAAGAGCGTCCAATATAAAGGAACGACCGTATCTTACACCTTATTAATAATGAAGAGGTTTCATCTCGCACTACTTGTACTTAAAGGCAGGATATCTGAAACTTCTGGATACAAAACGTGTGATTGCTGTATTAAGAATATGAAATGTGTAGAGATGTTTGAAAGGCTCACGTATTGCCAAAAGTCTATTGATTTTTCAGGGAAAAAGCTATTTTTTTAATACAATAAGTGTGAAAAACACCCACAGCCCACCTGATGTTAAATGGATGCTCTAGCCCGTAGACATGAAGATGGAGTGTCTCGTTCCCACCGATGTCTCCTATTGAATGGAATTCATAAGAAACAAAGCAGCATTAAGATCCTATTTTACGTTGATATTCTATGAGAGCGTAGTGCTTCCCTGTTCGAGCTGAGAAATTCTAGCTACAACCATAATATAGCTGCATCATCATATGGTTAACCTAACTCCTAATACTAGAAGAAAACTTATATAAAGAAAAGCAATAAAATATATCTAACATTGTATTAGAATCAGGAAGAACTTACTTACTAAAGTTACTAAACAAAGAAAAGAAAAAGCAATTGTAGAACATTTAAGTTCCCGCAATGTTTACTTGTAAAGTCAAACAGCGATTAGCGAAGAAGGAAATTCAGCAAAATCAAAACACACAAAATGGCAGGTAATATGGCGTCGAGACTTCGTAACACAAACGCATTCCAGGTCGTAATTAATTTCGAGGGCCGCCTCCGCGATCAAATACTTGACGATAGATGGAACTGCCTAATCAAATTTGGATCAATTAGTTTATTGGAAAAAAATGTTTGCAATTTTTTCTTGATTTCTCCGAATCTAAATACTTTGGAGTCCAACGGAATCCGTAATTGCATTTTACGACCGCTGTCTTAGAATTTAAATGGAAAACCTCGAGATAAGCTGATTATATAAATCAGTTTACAGCCCATCGACATTTCGTTATGAATTTTCTCGTAGGGGGATTCCGCCATGGTTTCTACGCTTTGAATGCGGGTTGGTAACTACAGTTTTTTTTTAAATATTTTCATTTGTTTTAAAAAAAGATGTTGCAACATAATTATTTCATGTTTATTTTTCTTCTATCGCCTCTTATGACATCTACGGAATGATGCGGAATAGTAGGCTTCTCTTTCGCTGCCACCACAGGGCAATAATAATTAATAAAATAATTAATAGCAATTTCAAAAGGGTTTTACTTTACAAAAGTTCATTTTTATGTGAATCACTAGGTAAGGAGATTTTTCCGAAGATGAATGTGGTAATAAAGAAATATTTAAAAGAAAGTGGGGACCTTGGTTGTCATTATTTAATATATTATAATTATACCTGTAATTATAGTGTATAATTAATGTGGTCACTTTCTTGTAACTCAAAAACTACAGCCTTGTGTCATACGATAGCTCTTCATCTATCAATCAAGTTTTTGACGCCATTTTGGCAGTGGACATTATAGTAAATATTTTAGTCGATTTTGGTATGGCGTAGTATAGTTGTTTTTTTAAGTTGATGATTTGAAGTGTTTGTAATTATTTCCAAAGCTTGTTTGTTTGTTTTTCTTGATATACTACTTAAGGTATACAACTTTGTGTTTTGTCTCTTTCCTCCTCCTAGTTTTGCTTTTATAAGGCAGCAAAGCTTATGGTGACCTCACGTAACTTATAAAGTAAAAAAAATAGTAGTTATAATTAATAATTATATGTGTGATTATTAAATAGTTTTAAGGAAATGTTTCTAAGTTGAAATCCAAGATTAGGATTTTAATTACAACAAACAAAAACACACACGCCTGTCACCTAGAGAGGTAGGCAAATACTACGGACTTCCATTTGACACGAACACGATCCTTACACACCTCTCTCACCTCCTTTACATCCTTATATTTATTCATACACGCTCGTCGATTCAGTTTACTCCAAATTTTTCCTATTTTTAATACATCGCCAATTTGTTTGACTTTTCATAATAGCAAATTCACTCTATTTCCTGCGTTCACTCTTCGTTCTATACCATAATTACAATAGGTACATAGAATGTAAGTGAGTGATGTATTCGCCAATAAACTGACCGGCAGCAGGCGAAAGTAGTTTATGAAACTACTGACTGTATTTTATATATAAAATATAAAAAAGTTATTTTATCTAAGGTAGTAATACAACATACATTACTCATTTCTGTTGCTAAATGGCAGTTTACCTGTTCCAATTTAAAGGACGGCGGAGCAAGATGTTTATATGTCGGTACGTAAACTAATATATATAAAACGCAAACACTCACGCCTATCACCCAGAGACATAGGCAGGAGCTACGGGCATCCATTTGGCACGGTCCTACATACCCTCACGCCTCCTTTACATCCATATACCTACGCATACTTGCACGTCGGTTAAGGGTATTTTTAATTTTGCCCATCTTCAATATACGAGTATCACCTATTTGGTCGATAAAATTTTCTCTAAGATGTTCTGACCCTGTCGTTCACTTATGCAACATTAATTTTCTTTGCCACTATT